ATCGTTCATTTTCTCTTTATCCTCCTCCCCAAGAAATCTTACAATGAGTTCCTGCTTTCAATCACTAGTTTCGAATTTTCTTTAATAAGTCATGTTGTACATTATGCCCTCCTAGAGTGCAGTGATGACTCAAGGAATACTAAGGGCGCGGCCAAAAACTGGCCATCCGTACCATGCCCAAGCACGCTTCAACCCTAAAGTTCAGTTCGTTTGACCAGTGTGACCGCTCCGTGCCGTGCTCAGGCACGGTACACTTCCTTGGCTTTGGCACACTTCAAAGAGGTGTGCTTCAGCACGGTACACTTCATACACGAGCACAAGCACGCGGGTAAACAACACTGACAGCCTTCATTATGGATGTGCAGACGCAGACTCAACTGCGCATCTCTCTCTCTCTCTCTCTCTCTCTCTCTCTCTCGTCCGCCTGTTTGTAAACTGAGCACGCTTCATAATAACGTAAAGCGTGCATGTGTTGTATTACAACGTTATGTACAAGAGGTAATCATGCTTAGGCACGGTTAGTCCTGGCCAGTGTGACCACGGGCCGTGCCGGTCAGCGTGGGAATGGTGCAGCGGAGGGCCAATCGTGCTTGAGTACGGCAAGTTACGGATGGCCAGTGTGACCGCGCCCTAAGAGGCATTGCAATTCTCGTTGTCTCCCTTATACAGTCAATTCTATCTCCCAAATGCAAAGAAATGATGATACAATTATTGGCCTGGTTAAGATTAAACAAAATGGCCTGGTTGCTTGTTGTTCAATTTTAGTTTGTACTTCTATAAACGGTGATTATTCTGGTTATACACTCAGATTTTTATTTTCCATACTTGTGTCCTCTACCGTGTAAATTGGAGTTATATTTTATGGCCCAACATGGATACACTAAGAAGTGTAGCTTGCACTTTAAATGTTTATCAAAACACATTTTCTGAAAATAATTTAACATTTGAGTGTGTGACCTTTCATCCTCCTCCAGACCGCTTCCACAGACTGAGAGGGAGAGAGAGAGAGAGAGAGAGAGAGAGAGAGAGAGAGAGAGAGAGCTTGTCAAAGTGTTCACTCTCTCTTTCTCAGCGTAAGAAGGAGAGAGAGACGGAGAAAGAGAGAGCTGCTCTTATTAGCCGTGGCAGGCCTGGGTGGCTCTGTGTGATAAAGATGGATGGTCCTCCTGTGGCAAACTCACAAATGCACACAGCGGTGCACACACACACCAAAACTAAACTGCCATCACACTCTTTCTCTGACACACACACACACACTGACACTCACTTGGCTCTGCTGAGAAAACACATACCTCTCTGGGAAAACTGTGGAAGCAGGTTGTGTGTTTATGAAGCTTAAAATGTTTATTTAACCACAAAACAGGTGGTCTACAGTTCATGCTTTTAGCTCAGTGAAATGTGCGTTTACAATTTCACAGCTTGTCTGACATGTCGAGGATGTGCCAACAAGACTGAAACTAATTTCATTTCACCTGACGGGGCATAACAAATAAGCACAGACACCATCCTGTTAAAATACCTATTATGTGAGCTGGGATGTTCAACTTGTGGTCGAGAAGTGCTTTCCTCCTCTTGGACATTTTTGCAATTATGCACCACGGCTGCACAAACTGCACAGAGAGGCATATTATCAGCAGCCAGACGAGTGAGTGTGTCTGCAAGATTGGCTGCTGCAGGGATTAGAGCATGTGAGGCTGGAAATGAAAAGGAGTTAGGGCTGAATCTCTGTCAGAAAAAAATAAAAGAATTCAAAGCGGAATTTAATCACGTCATGTTTACAGTATCTATGTGTCAAGACAAAACTGTTGTTGTTCTGCCTCAGCCGATCCGGAGCGTCTCAGTCAGACAAAGGCTGCTACGTTTCAGGATGGCAGTGTCAGTTAATTGGTCCCGCACTTGAGTTCAGACGATTCCCCTCAACAACTGTTGATAGAGTGCCATGAAATTAGGTACTATCAGTGAGCTACACATAGCCTCTCTCTCTCTCACACACACACACACACACACATCCATCCTTCTTGACCAGGAGGTTAGTCTCAAAAACTATAACTATCATTTCTGCCTTCTCTTAACCCACATAACATTTGGTACAGACATTAATGTTTCCCTCAGAATGACTAATCATGACCTTTTTTTTTATCACTTAAAGGCAGGGTTGGTCATTTTCTCCAGATCCACTTTTTAAGATTTTTGTTGAAATTGTCTTTAGGTCCTGACAGAAATTAATAACTGATGTTCTCTGAAAAAGGAACTAAGAAAATCTGTCATCTGTAGTAGTTGTAAGTCTGTAAAAACTTCCACCAATGTCTGCCAAGAGGTACCAATCTGATGGACCAACCACACGCCTCCCTGTCTCCCTGCTCGTGCTCTACCCCATGCATGCACGAGCCCACACTCAGAGTGGTAACCGATGATGGTTACCACTCTGCTCCACCTCTTTACCTGTTACAGGTTGACTGAAAGTTAAGGGGGGAAAAGGAGTGTTAATATGGAAACTGCTATCACTGGGCTTCAGAACTCCGAGACAAAATCCATATTTTGTACTGTTTAGTCACTTCCAACTTAAATGAATTGCAGTTTGCATCTTCATTGCATACATGCTTGGCTAGCATGTGGCTAATTTAGTTAATAATTTTGGAAAAAGTAAATTAATAGAAATGTTATAACTCAGATATTGTTTTCTATATATTTCCGCTCCTTCAACATTCTTCTTACCTGTTTTTGACGTTTATAAAAAGCAGGTTTTTTTCTCCTTTATGACCTTCCTCTCCCTCAAAGGTTTCAAAAGGCAGCCTGCTTCCATCCATTCTTACTCCTTTTCTTTCTGTTACATCCAACGTCTACACGTACATTATTAAGTATAAAACAGGTGTTCATCTTTTCTGTTATGGCAGTAAGTATCTGAAGGTGTGTACTTAGGATATAAATAGTGAGAAACATCAGATAACAGCAGTTTAATTTCTGTGGATAACATCAGAACAGGCTTTGACTCTTTGAAGAAGGAACACAGGGGCAATAAATCACAGATTTGATTGAATTTATTACAATGAAATGATTAAACTCCAAACATATTATTTGTTCCTGTTCCAGCTCACAGGACGACACTGGATCTGATGCAACAAGAAATAAATAACCCAACAGAGATGTATCCTGCGTTAAAATACAATATCAAATAAATAAAAGACTTGACTCTGCTGTCATTGGAGGATAAAGGGCATGTATATTGCTCATACCACAGAACAAAGAAGATATGGCCTCTGAGGCGAGTGAAGTCGATTTGTTGGCTAATTTGTTTCAGCTGTTCTTCACCTTCAGGAATGTGCGTTGTGGAGTTGCATTGCTAATCTCTACAACATGCATTTGATACTTGTTTTCCCACATTTCATATTCAGAAAGGCAATAAAAGAAAGAGGAGTGTAAAAAAGCTACAGGTCGTGATGAAGGGCAGCTGTGTGGTTTTCTGTTTGGCTGAATATGACTCCGGTGTTATGTCTGAAACATCGTCTCTGCTCCACTTAAACACCACTGAATAAACTTACTCCATCTCTATTACTCATCGACGCTGGCAGGTGCAGTGTCACATCACTGGAAGTCACTCATGGATCAAAGGGGGAGTATTGCATTGTGGGAAAGTTAACAGAAAGTTGGGGGCTGTTCACTCTCTCAATTTGTCAAAGCCTCTTGGTCGGCGGCTCCATGCTTCAGAAGTGTTCTTTTTGGATCCTTTTTATATTTAAAGGCAGGGTTGGTCATTTTCTCCAGATCCACTTTTTAAGATTTTGGTTGAAATTGTCTTCAGGTCCTGACAGACATTAATAACTGATGTTCTCTGAAAAAGGACGAAGAAAATCCATCATCTGTATCAGTTTGTAAGTCTGTAAAAACTTTCAACCAATGTCTGCCACGAGGTACCAATCTGATGAACCAATCACGAGCCTCCCTGTCTCCCTGCTCTGTTCTCTACCCCTTGTGTGCACAAGCCCACACTCAAAGCATGAGCTGAGGTCAGCTTCTGGACCAATGGCGCTTGTGCATGTAAGTGAGGGGTGTGGCTTTTGAGGGAGCACAGAGGGGAGGGGGTGCAGCCGGAGCACTGAGGGAATGCTACTTTAGAAATCATGCTAGAATTTCAAAAATTACCAACCCTGTCTTTAATATCATAACTTTATAATATATAAGCTTTTTATTTCAATTTTAATACTAAAAGTCAGATTACATAGAAGGACGACTGCAGTGGTTCTCTTTAGTGGGGTGTGGTGGCAGTGGGTCAGTCAAACAAACTGGGGGAATGGGGGGGGGGGGCACCAGGGTTTGATTCCAGTGTGTCGTACTCTTAAAAAAACGACTTCTCTTAAAGCTGAGTGAATCAGCCCGCCAACAAGAAACATACATTAGCATTGATTTAAACTCAGACCATGAGTTAGCATGATGATGTCATTTAAACAACGGGCAGTAAATACAGCCAATCATGACGTGTAAAGACAGAAAAGGCACGGGGAATAAAAAAAATAACTTGCAAGGAAGAAAAAAAAGATGCTGGTGCAAACAGGACAAGTTTTGTAACTCTGTGATGAAATACTGTCAGTTACTTTCTGTGTAAAGATAAACAGACATAAGAGATGAGCACAGGATGAAGATCATGGACGACCATCGCAGTTCTTACAAATAACGAGAAACCTCTGATAATACCTGTCCTTTGCAAAGAGGGGCTGTGAGGGCAAAAAGAATTTGACTGGAAATATAATGATCAAACCATAACAATGGGTGTGGTATGACAGTGGCAGAAACAAATAAACTTGTCTACATTAAACTTTTCATCTCCAAGAGATGGAAGTATTTCATTTGCAAACTGACTGAGGTGATGCAGACAAAAATGAGAAAAGGAACATAAACCAGAATCTAAGCCGTTTAAAAAACATTTTTTAATTAAAATGAAAAGGGGTGCCAGTAGCCTAGTGGTTAGTGTGTACGGGCGGCATGGGTTCAAATCTGAACAGTGGCTTCTTTCCCGCATTTCATTCCCTACTCTCTCTCTCTCCCTGATTTCTGACTCTGTCTACTGTCCTGTCTCTGAAATAAAGGTATTAAAAGCCAGAAAATAAACTTGAAAAAAGACCAAAGATTAGGAGTTTTTTTTGCAGAGGCACATCATCAGTTGTGTTACATTTTTGGGGCTGGAGTGAAACAAGCTGCCAGGTTTCTTTAAAAAGCTGGAGGAAAAACCCAATTTCTGATTAGAGGGAAAAGACTTCAGTATTTCTTGTGACCCTGATGAAGGCCACAAGCCAAAACATGTCGGTCTAATAAAGTTAATCAAGTCGATCTTCATACTACAAGAAGTGCTGCTGGACCTTTCTGACCTCTTAGAGCCTTCCTCTCTCCATGCACCTTGGTAGTTTGTGAAGTTGTGCCAGAAAACCCTAATCTACATTTTATGACACTGACAGTAACAACTGGTGTGATTGTGGAATGGCTGCACGGTATCTGACTTAAGAGTTACGCCCTGTTTCCACCAAGCGGTCCGGTTCAGTTTGGTCTGGTGCTGTACCTATTTTGGGAAGTTGGGAATGGTGCCAAAGTAAGGGATCCATACCATCCTACTTTCTTGGTGCCCTTCTGTTGGGGTGCCAAGGGTACCAATCTGTCCCTAAAGGGTCCCTTTCATTTACTGTGTCCCGTTCTTCTTGAATGTTTAACTTAATTAATAGCGGGCTGCACTGTGTTGGGCTGCTATGATGTCACACTATTATATAGCTGACCTCCATCTGGCTTACCAAATAAGGGTTGGCTGTGGAAACACAAGCAAGTTTAGAGTTTACCGTACCAAAACTGTACTGAACCAAACTGGACTGCTGGGTGGAAACGGGGCTTTACAGTATCAATGAAGTAGTAAACAAAATGCACCATTATACAATAGTTATAACAATGAAAAGAAACTATTTCAGCATTCAGTGCATCCTGCGTCATCAGAAACTTCTGTGACTCGATGCAAACTTCAGCCTGAGGTATTTTGTTGAGGAGCAGGAATGAATCCAATGTCCAACATCATCAAGGCTGAAACAGTAGCCCCATTCAGACTGCTGTTTGTGATGTCACAGCAGTTTTGTGAATTTCCTGTGACCTTCTGCACTTGTAGCATGCATGTCAGTGCACTCTGCTCCTGGTTGGATTCTTGTTTTGTATGTGTATGACAAACTAACCCATCTCTCTGTGTTACCTTCTAATCCGACTGCTTTTCTCCCTCTGCAGCTGTTTATGAGCTTGTTTGAATCTCCACAGCCGCCTCACTGTTGGAGTGATTGTTTGAAAGTAATGAGGTTTGTCTGTGTGTAACGATACATCACTGTCAAGTATCATCAGAATATAATCATGTTTTAAAAGTTGCACAAGGTAATGTGAATGACGCCCTGTTATCTCAACATCACGTCTGACTTCTGAAGCTCAGAATCTGAGAAATAAAAACTGATCATTTAACGAAAGCTTGGTATCCATAGTAACAATATTATCATTTAATATCATTTAATAACTAAATGGGCCTTAAGGTTCATTGAGAGTTCAAACACAGTTATATACAGAACAAGAAGAAGGCTATGTGAACAAATTGAGTTCTGATTTTTTTTACTCTGACAAAATAACACGATTCCTAAAAAAGGAGTTTATGTGCATAACAATGAATAAAATGTTCCCGTAAAATCAAAGTGAATATTCTGATTTATTTATTTTAAAAGGGAAAAAGGAAAGCTAAAAAAAAGTCACACTTTGGTGCAAGAAATCTACGGAGGCCCTAAGGGGACATACATCCAGACATTTGATTTAGTGGACTAAATGGAGACCTTGACTTACTGTCTCATCATCTCAGGATAAAACAGCTTCTTTAGCTTTTATAACAGGTTAATGTATCTCATTATCTCAGGATAACAAAGCTTGTTTCCCCGTGATAACAGGATTGTCCGGATGTCATTGGACATTGCCCACACTAATGAGGAAGTTAAGCCTATTTCTATGTTAGTTTTCTGATTCTGCATGTCCGGGGAAACGAGATAAATAAGTCAAGATCTTGAGAAAACACCTGAAACTTATTTCGTTACCACAGGGAAACAGAGTATGTTAAATGTTTAGATGCATGTCCACTTCCTTTGATTACATACTAATTTGGCAGAATACATTTTTTGCAGAAGAAGAAAAACCAAGGGAGAAATCTGATGATGTGTCTGAACTCAGAACTCAAATGTTTCTTCCACATGTGGCCTCTTTCCTCTCCTGTATGTCTGCTTGTATTAGTTAGTGACTTAAAGGAAATGGTTTACAGATCTGAAAGTCTGTGATCTTGAGGTAACAGGTCGAAAAATGATCAACAGCCACGGCTACATCAGGTCTCTACAGACATCCGCATGTTTGTGTCTCTGTGTGAATCCAGAGGGTTGTGGAAGTGTCATTTATACAGGTGCAAATGGTTTATGAGTGTGAGTGTGTGGGTTGAGGTTGTACTGAAGAGCACATACTGTATTTTATTTGTGTAACATTGTTGTGTACAAACCCTCCAGACCCCTCAGCAGCTGCAGAGTGTCGTTTCTGTCCTGATGTGAAGTCCTGATGTGTCTCAATGCAGAAACGTCAGCAGAACGGAGAGCCAGTGGACCAACATGGAGCCTTTCACCCTCAGAAACAGTTCATACACGCCGAGTTTCCACAAGTTCAGGGACTCGGACAGCGTGATCTGCAGGCGCCTCCTTCTGGACCGAGCCTTACTCCTCTTGTGTCTGTCAGCAAGCAGGACGAGAAGGAAAAGGTCAAAGAAGAAGAAGAACGTTTGTTAAACTACAGACTTTAAAAAGATGGATGACATGTCAGCTTCCCCTGCTGACTGGCTGCAGTATATGCAATAAGCTCCGCCTCCTCAATGTAAACAGATGACCTTGATGCATATTTATTTTTGGGCTTTTTTGTTTTTATTGTAATGACAGAACAGTGGATAGTCAAAAATCAGAGAGAGAGAGTGGGGAATAACATGTGGGAAGGAGACAGCGGTCGGATTCGAACCTGGGCCTCCCCCTCCGTACATTGGGCGCACGCACTAACCACTGCGCCGCCACCACCACCAAGCTTTCACTTTCTGAATATAAGAAAAGATCAAATTATTTTTCATCATATCTCTTGGCTGTGGTTTAGCTGGTAACAAAACCGCTCGCTGATCAAAGCTGTATGCTGAAAAATACCAACTGCAGTAATAATAGTGGCAAACAGGCCTGAATGACTTCATTGGTCTGCTTGTAGTGTCTTCTGCAGAATCCATCAGAGGAAGAAAAGCTGCTACAGAATGTGTGAACAATGGAGTCAGCACTGAATGCAAGCTGCAAACATGAGCTTGTCGAGATTTTTAAGAAAATCGAAAAAGTGATAAATCTCTATTACAGGCTGAAATACCTTTTTCAGTCACAAATCCAAAAGCACAGGCGAGACTGACTAATGTGGTTATGATTTCTTAGAGCTCCACCGAGGATGAAAAAAAAAAACGTTTAATCTCAGGGAGGCACAATAGAAAACTGCATGATGTGTCAATTTTCAAGCCTCAAAACTCTGAAAAATGAGAGAAATGAAATGAAGCCTCTTGGTTCAGTGAGTGGCGGTGCTGTCCGTGGTGCTGAATCGATGGAGCTGGCTCCACTTCCAAAACATGCTGCAGGCTCTCTATCGAACACACACACACACACACACACACACACACACACACACACACACACACACACACACACACACACACACACACACAAGCCACTATTACACATGCACTGCGGTCATGTTAATGCCCAAACATTACCTGGAACAGCTGCATAAGTAGCACTAATGTCTACTGCTGATACAAATTAAATTAAACTGACTTTTCCCGACGAGACCCGAAGTATCTTAAATGTCTCAGTGAGCTCATTTGTAAACAAATCAAGTAATTTCCAGACTGTCCACAGTCTGTTTTTGGTTGTCGTGTGTCACTTACTGTGTCTGCTTCTTTCTCTTTTCAGTTTTTACTCTGACAAATTCATTTTGTCTGCATTGAAATGGATTGACCGAGCAGCGTGCTCCACTAGATGATATTGTGAACCATGACACAAACAGCTTTGTAAGCTAACAGTTAGAGTGAGTATTTGCAAGATTTGTTCAACAAGTGCAAATAAACACAAATTATTTAACTGTTAAAGTCACACAGGGAATGCAAGGGGGTCATCTGAGGGAAATTTGCAAAGAGGAAAACTTTCTGCTTTTTAACTTCATACTTGGCTGTGTATCCTGTCCGGGAACACAATTAGAAACATGCAGACGCGTCATCAGCTTCTGTTTGTGTAAGGGGGAAAAAAAGGTGCTGGCCTGAGAGGGGAATACTTTTAGCTGCCAGCACATGAACTCAGTGTGAGCTGAAGAAAAGGTTCTCCTGCAGACAGACTGAACAGCTCAGAGGACTGAATGTTTGGTTTGATTTGGAGGACGAGGTGGATCCCCTGCTGCCTGAATTACATGACTACTCAAGGCACTAGACTTTTTTTATATGTTATAAGATGAGCTTATTCAGACAGTCTATAGCTCTGTTAGTGGCAGGCAGAGACCCTGTACGTGTGTGTGTGTGTGTGTGTGTGTGTGTGTGTGTGTGTGTGTGTGTGTGTGTGTGTGTCCATCATCAGCTGCGAACTGATGTGACAGCACACACACACCTCTCCTCTCCAAACCTGCAGACGTAAATATCAATTTCTCCTCCAAAGCCACTTACTTGTCGGCTTAGTTTGTCTTACGTTCTGACACACTCCACCATGTGTGCTAACATCTCAGAGACTGAAGGATTTTATTCACAGATCTGTAAAGAGTCGCTGATGTTTCACTAAAAGACAGGAAGTTCATTTTGTAAACCTGGAACAAATGTAACGATTTGAACTCTGCAACAGAACTGGTTAGTCACAGTCTGTTTTCATTTTTTTGATTTATTTGAATTTATTTCTTAGTGAGACCTTAAATACTTCGGATGACCAGGATCTGAAAATCCTGAGCTAAACACTGGGAAGTTTGAAATATAATGAATGATAAATGTATTCAACTGGTTATATACATTTAAAAGTTCCAAAGAAATCTGACAGCTTTTACCCTTATTTTGCCAAATAAACATACATCACATAACTATTGAAACATTTCTGCTGATAGAAAATTGAAATTATATTTCCTATAACTCCTAAATATTAAATATTTGTTCTTTTTTGCTTATTGTGATGTCCTTTCCTGAGGTATCTTCAATTCTTTGACACCATTAAATCTGTGTAACCCAAATGTTATGTAAGTGTTATAAATGATGCTCTAAATACTAATGTTTTTATTTATTTTACACCAATGTTTAAGATCATGCAACAAGGATCTCTCATTTCTTCATCACATCCTGGCTTGTTTTTTTAAAATCCTCTATCTGTCTGTTTTTCAAGGTAAGACTAGGAGTTTGTATTAAAGGTCACATTTTCTCATCCCTTTTCAACCAGTTTCAATAAGTCTCAGAGCTCCCTAAAACACGTCTGTTAAGTTTCTTGTTCTAAATCCACTCTGATCCTGTATTTGATCATGTCTATAAACCCCTCTATTTCAGCCCTGCTCAGAACAGACTGTTTCTGTGTCTGTACCTTTAAATGTAAATGAGCTGTGTCTGACCACGCCCCCCTCTCTAGAAGGTCATGAATGAATGAATGTCATGAAGGGAAAATCTCCAAACGGCCTGTTTGAGCACACATTTTATGAAAAGTGGAGCAGGCAAAAGACGGAGAGGATGGACTTTTCTCATATTTGGGGCATTTGTAGACAGACTAAGGACTCATATTCGTGTTAGAAAAACAAGTGTTTTTTACATAATATGTGACCTTTAAATAATGATGGAGAACTGTATTAGTTCTAGTTACTTGATTTATCATTAATTTATTAAGTTGTTCTGCGTTATATTCTTGTCACTACCTTTTCACTGTACCTCTAAAGTAAACGTAAACACGATTTCAACAAAGGGAAAAGAGTTGGATGTTTCTGACCTGGCCATGGCGCGTATACAGCAGCGAGACATGTTGATGAAGGAGGAGGAGGAGGCCCTGGTCTGTAAGGTGGTCTCGATGCCCCTCAGCAGGTCGTTGGTCTTCAGAAGCAGCAGCATCTGCCGGGGCACTCTGTTCAACAGATCGCTGATCTGAGGTAAATACTGAGCCGCATTGGTCCGGATCTCAACGTCCTGCAGAAGAAAGACGAGAAGGACAGCTCTCATCATCAACCATTACTGTCATCACAGCTCATACAGGTAAGAACAGTTACCTGGTGAAAGGCTGAATAAGCGATTTGAGTATGAATCTGTCCATCCTGTGTGTGTGTGTGTGTGTGAGTGTGCGTCAGCAGCATTGTCAGAGCTGTCAGTCCAGATCAACAGGGTGTTGAGAGGCAGAGAGTGAGACAGACAGCTAGTCAACATCCTGACACAGATAAACTCTGTCTCTGCTCTCTGTCTGTCCGTCTCTGTCCACATCACCTCCTGTGGGCATGAGACCAAAAAGCAAACACTTCTGCAGCAAACAACAAGCACCTGATTAAACTACATTCATGACACACAAACACGCTGGGGCTCGGTTCAAAATGAGGGTCCCAGTACACGTCAGCGAAAAGACAGTGAAACTGAATCTTACACAACAGAGACTCAGCAAAGTGTTTAAAAGTACCATTTAGTTTTTATTTCTAGGTACTCTGTAGGGGTTTTCGGACCAAACAAATCTGGGTATGGTGGTTATGGTATGGTACCAGTAATGTACCCTTAAGGGTCTGTTTATAAGCATTGTTTAGCATCTGATTCAATTCAATTCAATTCAAAAAACTTTATTTGTCCCCGGGGGGCAATTCAAAGGCACACAGAGCAGTAAATTAACAACAGTGCAAGTACGAAACATTAATCTAAATATAAAGTATCAATTTAAATACAACTTAAAGCTTAAACTTAACTTAAAAATACAAAATATAAAAAGAGTAGATATAAGTGGACAGTGATTGGACTAACAGATGTAAACAGATGTAACCAGAACTATGTGCAGTAGTGACCAGATGTAAACAGAACTATGTGCAGTAAATGAGAAATAAATATATATATACAGAGCTATGTGCAAGTAGGCAAATACTAAATGATAAGTTGTTAAGGTGCATGGTGAATAATGGAACAACAGAACTAATATATACAATATAGCTGTAAGGTAAAAATTCAAGGTACAACCACTGCAAAACCTCCACCTCAGCGGCAAGGAAGTGTGGACAACAGGAACGCAAGGAATACAAAAAATCCCATCGCCCCCTTTCCAATTTTCCTTAACAATGAGTAAGGTCTTTCCACCTGCTCTTTTGTAAAGCGCCTCGAGATAACACTTGTTATAAATTGGCGCTTTACAAATAATGATTTATTGATTGACTGACTGATTGATTGACACTGTTTTGTATTTGTTTCAAGATACCCCTACTTGGACGTTCCTAGGTAGCTTTAAGAGGGTCTTTCAAGGAACCCTAAAGACTCTTTTCAAGGTACTTTTAAACATCTTTTAGCTTTTTTCTGAAGTCCCCTTTGTGTTAGGTATGTTTTTAACCCTGTTCACGCATTGTGAATGTGGTCTGTTAGGTTTAAACAGAAATACACGGTGAAGTATCAGAGAGAGATTATAAAAAGAAAACAAGCTAATGTGGAAAAGTTGCTCAGGAAGTTAACTGCAGGGTATTTAGATTTTTTTTTTTCAAACCCTTCCGAGTCTCCCACTTCTCCATATATTCTTTATTTACTCATTCGACTACCAGACACCAGGTTTAGCATGTAAAGACATAAACCAACTACAAAATCCTCCCCTTATAAACACCCAGCAGCACCAGTCTAAATGAAAAGGGGTTGGGTTTTCTGAAGAGCCCTGCTCAGGGAATAACAATTAGTAGCAATTATGGGAGGTTGGTTAGCGGGCCTCACAGCTGTCAGTAGGACACAGAGACAGCGACAGTGCTCTCATTTGCATCTGAAAGCTTCAATAAGGACATATTGTATTGTGAGTGGTGTGATAATAAGCCGTGCAAAAGGCAAAGGGAATGCAATCGAAGGGGGGGTGGAATCTGTGCTGGTGATTTTTCTTTTCTCCCGCGAGTGTATTAGAGAGTCGTCAGGATGATTTCGTACAGCAGCCTGCAGCCATTAGAAATATGTTGTGCAGCACAGAGGGAGAACGTTACAATCTATAGTGAGAGCAGCTATTAGCGACGCTATTCTGACTCTGCAGAGCGAGAAAAACGCGACTACACTCAAGGCAGTCATTTTATTTGTCTAAAGAAAAGCTGAATAATATGAAATCACTTTGCTTTACTCAGACTGGTGTACAGAGGGACGGTAAATTAATGTGTCATTTTGTCAAGAAGTGGGGCTGAAAGAGTTGAATTTGTAGATTTATTTTTGGGCTTTTTATAGCGTTAGTTGGGAGACAGGACAGTGGAAAGAGTCACAAATCAGGAAGAGAGAGAGAGAGAGTGGGGAACGACATGCAGGAAAGGAGCCACATGCCGGAATCGAACCTGGGCCGCCCGCTTCAAGGACAACAGGCCTCTATACATGGAGCAGCACAAACTAACCACTAGGCCACCAGTGCCGGGGTTGAAAGATTTAAGAATCAATAAAGAAGCTGTGTTGCACTTGATCATTTTCTGTAACTTCCTGAGACGATCAATTTGACCACCAAGCCGTCTTCACACTCTGATGGGTGAAGTGTGTGGCTTTGATTTGAACTTCTCTATTCGGCTTTTTTTCTCCATTCCTCACATTTCTATCTTTGCCATTACTCCCTTTTTGCAAAACATATCAAATAACTCTACAAGGCCACAGAAAAGATGCAGCATAAGTATAAATGTGTATTAATGTGATAATGCTAAGCTCACGGCCTTTTTGACTTAAACAAACAACTATAGCTGTAGTCATGCAAAGTCGACGCCTGGAGAAAACATGGTGTGAACAGACATAGAAACAATAGGCAGATATGGACGATAGTATAGAATACTTGGTGAATGTAGCAGCTCATAAAATCACAACCATAGCATTTTAATGGTAGCACTATAACAACAACGGTTAATGGTGCGTTCCATTTAGCTCAGGATCTCCCATCGGAGCTGGGAATGACGTCACACCTGAGTTTACCACATTCCTGATGCGAGTTGCAACAAGTCGGACAAGCAACATGACGAGTACCTTTGTTTTAATAGCTGATACCAGAAGATAAAAACATACCATGTGATAGTTTATGTGTGAAAATAACATGACAACATCTCCATGGATAGAACTTGCACGATACTTTAAGTGTGCTTGATTTAATTACACAAAAGAGGACTAAATTGCTATTAAACAAAACAGTTACAGCTTAAACGTTACTGTTAATAAACATAGCAGCCGTGTTGGATTTTCACTCGGACTACTGAAGGTTTTCGAGATCCCAAGTCAGAATTCAGACTTCATGGGGCCTCTCGATGATGTATCAGACCAGGAACTCAGAATATCGACTTCAGAGGTCAAACAAAGCTTACCATAACTCTTTCACACAAATGTCTAGAATGAATGTAGAATCTGTAAGAGGAGAATTTATGTGTTTAGCATCTGGTTTGTTGTAAAGCAGTGATTCCTCTTTTTCAATCCCTTTTCTTTGAAGCCTCCCCTACTTGTGTAAATTTAAAAAACTGTGCCTCCCCCCAAAAGGAACACACTAAAACAAACAAATACATTGCTTTCAAAAATGAATATAAATGTTGATTTATTTCATGAGAGCTCAAACTACAAGTGTGGCTGACTAAGCAGCCTGATATATTTCAGTGAGTAAACAGGACCGTTTCATTTACAGACCTTAGAATAAACTATTCTGTGTGTGATCATTATTTTAGTTAACATGTGCAGATCTTATTTTGAAGACCTCAGAGCAGACAAAGCTGTGTGCTTCGTTTACAGAGAACTGCAGAATAACTGTGAATAAACGCCGTATTATTTCTCTGAAACGAGAGCTGCAGCGCGGTGGGTATCACATGACTCATGACGTTTACTTTTGAAACATGCTCTGATGGAATAAGTGCAGTGCAAATGTTGACTTTTATGTATTTTTTTTAAAGATAAAATGCAAACATGGAAGAACATGTTAGTAAGGGTGCTGTTGCGATTAACAAACAGAGGAGTGCATCTGAAAAAAAGAACAATATATTCCTGACTTCTCTAACCACACGGTGACATTTTGAACAGATTGCTTTGTTTTAATATTTGGAAGAGAGACATTCATTAAAATAATAACATATTCCACTATGGTGAAAAAAAGGTAGCGAAAAGGCAGAGCTCTAAAAGCACTCAACATGTGTTTCCTGAATGTGATTGCATTAACACTAATGGAATGCATCATCGGGCGGTGGAAGCACAACTTAAAAAAAATGATCCGCGTATAAGAGAGTGGATAAAAATGAAAGAGGGGAAACAACGAGAGAGACGTCAGGAAGGACAACAAAGAAAAGGCAGAGAAGACGAGTGGATGAGGTCTCAAAGTGTCTTCATAACTGTTACACAATCGACAAGTGGAGGGCACTAGAGCGGAGTCCGCCTAATGGCTGTGTGTGTGTGTGTGTGTGTGTGTGTGTGTGTGTGTGTGTGTGTGTGTGTGTGAGTGTAAAAGCAGGGAATGTAAATGACATAGACCGATGGCCAGGAGTGATGGGAGTGCTTTCATCTCTGAAGTGGCAGACAGAGGAGAACAAGAACACCTTACCTGCACACATTCTCACACTAGAGTACTCGACTATTAAGGTTTTGAATTTATAAAAAGGGAACACACAAAAGGTTGAGTTAATAACATGCAACCTGGCAATTAACGCAAGTCCAACCACGTACCAAGAGTATGCAGCTTCTTTGGAAATACAAGTTATTTTCCCTCTGATGTCGACTTCTAGAGTCCAAATCTCCAGTAAAGCCTGAACATGTTGAAGTGAGATGATGTTCAACTAGTGCATCAGGGCATCTCTGCACATCCAACACGTCATCAACTCTAAGCAGGAAGCTCCAAAGATCCAGATTGCAACCAGCCAGGGCTGCACAACTAATCACAATTTGAGTGTTATCAGGATATGAGCATTCACAAAGCATCACAAAAAAACTGAATTCATCACAATAAATGAGAACAATTATTTTATGTAAACAAGCAATGCTTTCTGAGGATGCACACGTTTACTCATTGCATGGAGGTATGAGTTTAATGGCCGTGCTTTCACAGCATTTTGATGCAGTCAGATCGATCTGAGCTATCAGCTACCGCTTGTTTAATTGATGACAATTTAGTGGTGAAATAGCAGCTTCTGGATCTATTCTGGATTCAGGAGGGTGCTAAATATGAAGAACAGCTGAGAGGCACACAAGCTGAGTTAGCAAGCCAATAGTCACGCTCCAATCTTTCTTAATCGCAAATCATTTCATACATATTTGTTTTCATTTTACGGGCTTTTTATGCTTTTATATTTTATAAACAGGACAGTGATAGAGATGGAAATAGAGAAAGAGAGAGAGAGAGAGAGAGAGTGGGGAATGACATGATCTAAAGGAGCCAAAGGTTGGATTTGAACCCAGGCCGGGGCATGTGCACTACCCTCTAGGCCCCCATTAGTGCAATATTGGACAATGACTTAGCCCATAGCATATTTTTCTCATATCATCCAGCCCTGCAGCCAACACACAACCGGCCCCTTACCCTCTTTTTTCCAAACATGTAGGAGAAGAGCTGGTCCCTAAACTCTGCACAAGGAATAACATTATTCACTGTAGGTATTCAGTTGACATTTCCCCTCTACACAACCTCAACCTCTGCAAAGTTCAAGTTGTTGCTGCAAAATTTCACATGATTATTAATATCAAGCAGCTTCATGAGCACAATCCTACACCATTCTGAGCTCCTGTCATAGTCTGTCCCTGAAGTCCAGCAGGGTGTATAAAATGTGCAGCTCATGTGATGTTTGTGTCCCCCCCCCCCCCCCCGCCCGCCCGCCGATTGGTTATATACCAAAGCAATAGAAATCAAAGGGAAATTCAAACAGAATTTGAAAGGACTGACGAGTGAAACAAATCTAGTCTGAATTGAAAATGTAAAGAAAGAAAATGTATTTCATGCTTAATGCACAGCCTGTTATGTCAGCTTTGAAAAATGGGTTACATATCTCTACCATCTTACAGTTTCCATGAAGACAATCAGATAGACAGAAGGAGAGGAAATCAGCAGCGGACACGGAACAGCAGACGGGAAGTGAAGCAAAAAGTCAAATCACTGAGCTGCAAACAAAGTGAAGGAATCACACATGAAAAGACAATGATCTATCACTTAAAAACACATTCACCAAATGTTTAGAGAGAGAGGAGAGAGACGCTGAGTGGAACCCTCACTGGATGAACTTTGTGCTTCTTCTCCTGTTTTTCCAATTATTTTCTCATTTCTAATTCAGTTGACTATGTTGATTGTAAAGCGATTTTGTGTGATTAAAAAGAACTTGTCAGGCTCCGTGTCCACCTCACATTAAGTTAAATATAACTGACAAAATTAGCTTGTCTCCCCCATGGCTACAGGTAGCTTCTCTCAGGTTTCTATCCACCGTAAAGAAAAGCACTTCTGTGTGTAGGACACTACTGGCATCTCCCCGATATTACAGATCTTCAGATATCAGTCACATACTTATGATACTTCATCAGTGGAAACAAGGCGTTAGGGTCTTTGTGTTTCTCCTGTAAGAGGTCTTGCCCCCTCGATCTAACTCCTAAATTGAAGCTCTGTTCTCTCTTTGGGCTGAATAATCTCTTTTTGTTTAACTTCCAGGGGGTCTCGATGTCCCTGGTGATCCAGGGCTTATTGCGAGGGTAGCAGGTTAAGATCCGGGCCGTGCAGCCTGAAACAACATGTCCACACAGAAGTCGATGCATCCTGTGATGCTGTGTTTAAATCCCTCGTTGTCCCCCTCACCATATGGCCCGGTCAGCACTTCCCAGATCGTGATGGACTGGATGACATCAGAGGGCTGTGCCGCGTGGGCAGAATGTAAACAGCGACGATAAGAGCATGTTCAACTCTCCGCACAGATAATAGGGAAGAAGACCCTCCTTAGAGTCATTAATTGCAGAGTGCAGACACATGTATGACACTAACACGGTCTGGTTTACACTGCCTGTTGTTAAAGAGAACACCCCCCCCCCCCCCCCCCGTTCTCTCTGACTGCTCTCCTCTTGGTTTCTGTCCCCCTCGTACTGTCTGCTCCCTGCCAAGTTCACTCTTGTACTGGCCGTCATGTGTGAGGGGGTGGCACACTGTAGCAGACTGTTTTGTAGTACTTTGGCCAGCTTAAAAATGTTGCATAAGAGAGGTATAAATAAACTCTCTCCAGCACAGATGGCATTGTGGAACCCCTGTGGTTAATGGGACACTTACAAACGCACACAAAACAGTTTCTTTTTTTCCCTTTTGCTGGTGGATTCTAAAAACAATCCCGTCTTGAAGAAAAAAACCTATTAACTCTAACTTAAGTGATTTCAATGATGGGGTCAAAACTTAAGCCTTCGATTAGCTGAGAGATAACTCTGAGAATATTTGCTAGATGAGCTGTAACAGTGGTGTAGGTAACTTTGGAAAAACCAGTCAAAGTAAGCTGGATATAGAAGATTTGAGGAAGTCTCGGCCATATGCAGCTAGCATGCTAATTTTAGCTTGTTGAAAACCATGCTCAATAACAGGGAGCCTGAAGGTAGACACCTCAGAAGGAAGGCAGGATGGAAAGTCATCCACTTCCATTCATACAGTGTGACACGTTTAAAGCCACAGATACCAGATTTTCATTTTTTTTAGTTAGTTAGTATGTTGGAGCATTTATTAATATTTCTGTCTGGCTGCTGAGATAGAGTATTAGAGCCACATTAGAGAAAAATAATGGAGATTTTGGAGACTATTGTTTTAGTACGAAGAGAATGAAGTTGTATTTCTAGGCTGTTATTTTGACGGGGAATATAAAAAAGAGCAGCCAGCCATCTTTGCTAAAAATGAGTAACCTGGATCATCTTGTGAGGTCATGTGGGAGAGGATGTGGACAGTGCTCCTTCCCGGAGACACCATGTGGATTTGATCTACAATAAGGTCCAACAGAGGATCTTTGTTCTCAGGAGATTCACATCATTTGGTTCCAGTAAAGAGATCCTACATCTAGTCTTCTGCTCCACAATTTAAAGTCTCCTGCATACAGAGGCCCAGTCTCTCCGTTCAGCTGAAAGCCAGGATTCAAGACTTCTGGGTATCTTTATGTACTGTAAAGGCTGGACCAGCTAGTCATTAGTAGCTAGTTATTTTAATGATTGATAGTACAGTAGCTTTTTTTTAAAAATTTGCGTTCATTTCACTTGTGTTTGTGTTTGAATATCTGCTTATTTATTTGCCCACTCATGGACTGAGATTGTACTATTTTTTTTTTTTTTACTTTTTATTTAGTCAAATTTCACATCTGTAAAGGAAAAACGAACATCATGAAAGAACAAAGACAAAAACAAGATGACCCGCATTATTGTATAAAACATAAAGTATTCGCTGAGGGTTTCACTACAGGAACATGTGAAACATCGACTAGATTTCCAGCACTAACACCCTGTCGACAGCGGATGCATCTCAACAGAGTGTTTCAGTCCTCATCTCATGTGTGTCTGATGGAACTGATGCACTTCAGTTTGAATCTCTGCAGCTGTCAATACAACCCCCCTCCCCTCCCACAGACTCCTGCTTCACTCAGGCTCTGATAACAATGATCCAAAGTGTATTTTTACTCTTCCACTTATTTTGTTTAATTATGTAACTCCATGCAGGCATGTTATAGACATGCTGCTTCTCCTACTGCTGACAGAATCACTTGATCATGTGTGTTTTAGTTAATCCAGGACTTTCATATCGTGGGTTAAACATTCACACTCTAGATTTTGAGGATAAATGTGTTTCTGTTTGTCTTATTTCTATTGTCTTGATGTTTAGATTTAGCTCTTTAACATGGCCTAGCGGTTAGGTCACGCACCATGTACGTAGGCTGCAGTCCTCCAAGCAGACGGCCCCGGTACAATTCCGGCCTGTGACTCATTTCCTGCATCTCATTCCCCAGTCTCTCCCTGTTTCAAAAAAAAGGAATGAACTGAGAGCACATACCTCAGAGTGTGTGACAGGCACAGAACTGATGCCAGCGTTGACGGCGGTCCAGGATCGGGCGGTGAGGACGCAGGCGAACAGCGGGTACAGCTCTCCAGCTCCCAGTCTGCGGCTGTAGCGCTCCACACCGGGCATGTCTCCTTTAATCAGAGCCTGCCACAGTCTGCAGTAGTCCAACCTGAAGTCAGGCTGCAGGACCTGAAGAGAGAAAGAAAAGAATCCTAATATGTCTTTTGTTTAGATTGTATCTTCCTTTAAGGTCCTGTGGGGACTTCTAATCCGGTTATGAAACAGACGTAGATGAATGTCGATGTCTTTCATAACGCAAAAGACAGACTATTTTTATCCACTTATCAATGATGACCGACCTCACTACTGCAGGGTAGGTGTCAGACAACGTGATTAACAGCATGCTGCAGAAACTTCATGTCACTAACTTTAAATTCTGATGTACCATTTCAGTTATTAATCATATGACTTCCGTGGAGATCCTGAGCTCTTTTATTTTGTAGCTTCCTCTGGATCGTTGCTGCAGACGGCCTGCTGTGGAAATGCCTGACTCAAAATGCTACGACTAATAACATCAGTTTTAAATGTATTCTCATTATTAAAAATGTTAAAGTGAATCTAACAGCTGCTCGACTCCAACTGCTATGATTAACACGATCAGTCCTGAATGTTTTTATTAGACTGATCAGACTTTCCTTTACAAGCTTTTACCATTTTTACCGTCATTGTTGCCTTGAATCTGTTTGATTTGTTGTTGTTGTTGTTTCTCTGTTTGTCTCGTTATCTCCTTCTACAAGCTCAACACAGTCGCAGCAGATGGATGTTCATCATGAGTCTGGTCCTGCTCGAGGTTTCTGCTTCTTAAAAGGACGATTTTTCTCTCCACTCTAACTTTGCTAAATGTGTCTTAGTGCTCATGATGCATTCATGTTGTAAATAATATAACAAAAAGATTAGGTCTAGACCTGCTCTTTTTGTGAAGTGTCTTGGGATAACATTTGGCGCTTTACAAATGTTTTCCTGTTAAACTAATTTTAAAAATGTGAATCCAGTCTGACAGTAAAAGACTTGAACACATTTTCTTTTTACTCTTTTTATGATTTTTACACTGGACACATTTAATCCTCACCTTAATGCTTCCTGACATTTGCATGACCCACTGACGCACATGAAACACACTCAGTGTGTGGTGCCAGGAGCTGTAATTGAATGTGTGTGAGTGTGTGTATGTTTGTGTTCATGAGGAGTGGATTGAAATGATTCTCCAAAATGACAGCAGGACTCAGAAGTCATTAAGAATAAATTGGTGCCATTATGAAAGGATAAATCCTCCTCATGAATACTGGAACCAGCAGTCAACAAACATGTCAGACATGTGTGCATCAGCCCGCGACTGTTTGTACCAACATGTGTGTTAACAATCAAAGAGAGTGTGTGTGTGTGTGTGTGTGTGTGTGTGTGGTCACATAAAGGGTCTGTATGATTAAGGCAGTGATGTACCAATCCAAAGCGAGACCGCTGCACTCTGCTAAGAACAACATCAAATGAGTTGTTTATCAAAAAGCTTTTATCCCCCTGCAGCTCTCCTGAAAGTGTGTGTGTGAAAGTGTGTGTGGCAATCCATTTTTTATGTGCATCTTGACTGTTTGCGTACTCAAGGCCGCAGCCAGCAACATGAAAAATGGACTGCAATATTAAAACAAATGATGTTTTTCTTTATGTTAGAGCCGCCTGGAGATTTTTTTACCTGATAGAGGCCGTGATCGAGCAGGACAATCTCCGTCTTCTGGCTCTGGGGGCATTTTCGGACCAACACGTTGCCCGGATGAGGGTCGCAGTGAACAAAGCCGTGCACGAAGATCATTTCACTGTACATCTTACCCAGGTTCTCTGAGATCTGTTGGAAATGGTAAAGAGAAGTGTTTTATTAAATCCTAAAAGAATTCACAAGAAATGAAATCTGAAAGGAAAGAACACAACAGAGCTTAAAATAAAAACCAAATCATCAGATTAAAAACAAATTATGTGTAGAATACTCCATTTTATTGTACTTTAATTTGCATTGGCAGTGAGGTTGCACAAAATCTGCAAAAAGTGCTCTAACAAGGTGCATTATCACTTCATTTAGAAGGCTGCAGAAGGAACAGATAACTGCTGTCTGAGGGCCCGATCACACAGTCGCCCTCGGTGCTGTCGCTCCAAGAACGCCTGAGCGCATCTGGGGAATAAACAGCTGGGAGCGCCTGTGGAGTGGGGCTGGTTGTGCACTCGGGTGAACAAATGTAAAAAAATAAGTGGGAAAAAATTGATTTGAGCAAACGTAGAGCTTTCCACCATCTCGTCAGTGAGCTCTGTGGTAAGTGTCTGGTAAGCGGTTAAGCCCGCCTCCCACTTGACTTAATTGGCTGCTTTGGCCGAAAGTAACATTGGCGAGCGGGTGACTCTGAGTCTTGAGCTGAGAACATGAACATTTTGTAACTTTTTGTGCGCCCAACAAAAGCTAGAAAAATGCATCCCAGCATTTAGAGAAGCAGTAAAGACAAGCACCCAGAAAGCTCGCTGTACCATAGGAACACAATGGTTTTACTGGCAACGCTTTTCTAGCAATGTGTCTCTGCGTGATTAGGCCCTGAGTCACCACAGTAAAGAAAAAGTGAGTTACAGTAATCTTAGTCTCTATTCAATCTGACTTGCTATTTATTATTTTAAAACAATTTTGTGGGTTTGAGATTGTACTAAATGTACGATGGTATCATGATTGTACTACACTGCTGGATGTGCATCCCCTCAACCCCCGATAATGCACATCTACACACTACCATGGTGCATAGTGAGTCATAAAAACACCACACAAACACATCTGAGGAGATAATCTTAGTGCAATGCTACGTTTTGCACCAGACTAACCTCGAAGTAAAGACCAAAACCCTCCAACAAACAGAGCGCAGAAATATCCTCACCACAATAGTTCAAAACTCAAACTGGTCCTCACAGTTACAGAAAATCAAGCCTACAAACACACACAAATACCTTTTTAAAAAGAAAACAGAGAGCCAACAAATTATCTCAGAATGGGCACACACAAATGGTGGTTAATTAGAGCTCCTCAGATTGTCCCTGGAGAAAAAGTGCAGCACACACCGACTGACCTGCAACATCCCGTTTTTGTCTGCTGCTAAAAAAATGTCTGAGCTGAGTGTTTTTTTTAATCTGTAGGTCATAATTTCCAGTGTAGCGCAGGATTGGTGTGTGTGGACGTTGCTATTGCATCAAACAGGAAGTTTTTGTCTCTTACTCATGTTTTTACATTTGTGTTCATGTTAGCTAGCCTGCTATCAGATAATCTTAGGTTTAAAGGTCACATACTATGCAAAATAAACTTCACCATGTTTTTCTAACACTAATATGTGTCTCTAGTCCGTCTACAAACCCCCAATGATGAGAAAAGTCCATCCTGTCCGTCTTCTGCCTGCTCCACTTTTCTGAAAATGTGTGCTCAAACAGGCCGTTTGGAGATTTTCCCTTCATGACATCACAAAGGGCAGTAACCCCTCCCCCAGGTGGGTGACACTCCCACAGCTAGGTGTTTGTTCTGCCCTCTGAGTCTGCCTTCCACCGTAAACAATAGGACATGGAGCGAGAAAGCCTGAGACACCCAAGCCTTCCAGAGAGGGGGCGTGGTCAGACACAGCTCATTTACATATTTAAAGGTACAGACACAGAAACAGTCTGTTCTGAGCAGGGCTGAAATAGAGGGGTTTATAGACATGATCAAATACAGGATCAGAGTGGATTTAGAACAAGAAACTTCACAGACATGTTTGGTGAGCTCTGAGACTTATTTAAACTTGATGAAAATTAGGAGAATATGTGACCTTTAAGGTGACTACTAAAAGACTCACTTGGCAGTTTTTTTTTGGTTGAAGGTACTGCTGAAATGTTCACACCCTGGAACCCGGCTATCTACTGATAACAGAGGTCAGTTTTATTCAAACATCATCATTTAATTTCCTAATCCTGAGCCCTCGTCTGTTCCTGGAGGGCACAGTGAGAATTGAGAAACAACAGAAATTGAAAAAAGGATGGTGAAATTAAACTTTGAACAAAATGAAGACTAAACTGAAGACACTGGGGCTGCATACAGACAAGTATCAATATTTTGTAGGGATTGAGGGTGATCTTTTCACACTGTTCATCCATTATAGAGTGATTACACTTATATGCAAGACTAAATGTTTTGCAATGTTATTTTTTGATATACAGGATTCAATACATTACATCCTGAAGACATATTTAAAATAAGTCCTTACTCTGCGTCATCAAATTATTATTTTGATAGGGTTATAACCCCATCAAGCTCCATTCAAACACCACAATGTGCTGCACATAGTGCTGGTGCTGCTGTTTCTGACAACAATGAGCTCCAGACTGAGAGCTAATGTAGTTTGGGACCAGATAAGCTTATAGGACTGCACCTGCAGGAGGCCACATCACACTGTCCTGACTCCTCCGTCTTCAACCCTAAAGAAATCATCACAACACCTGAACAATGATTACGACTTGAACACACAACTTTAAAGCTTCATGGGCTCCATGACAGCATGTTTCTAATAAGTTCCACAAGCAGAAACGTGCTCAAACTAGGATCAATATTGGAGATGCTTTTGAAAAATGGAGAGAGGTTAGAACACAGAAAGGTTTACAGACCGATGCAGAGCTGGATAAACACTGAAGCTTCAGTGTCCACCACATGGTGACCTGTGTGAGCATCCACTCTAGAGAGGAGGAGGGGGGGAGACAGCTCTCTACAATGTTTAGAATTTGGACTGCAGTACCCATTTTAAACACTAGGTGACAGAGATACATATTGCTCCTTTAAAAACTGTTGAGGTTTGGATAGAGAGTCAAGATGTTAACTTTTTAGAAAACACGTTTCAAAAACCTGCACAAGGATACGTAACGTTCCTCTAACATCCAAATGAATCTTCACAATTTATCCAAATGTGTCTTTAACATCCAAAAGCTGACTTTCACAATGCATTACCTTAGTTGTAGAGTTGGATCAGAATCAGAATCAGAAATAGTTTATTGATCAACAGGAGGACATCTGGTCGATACGGATGCTCTCACATAAAATATATCAGTAGAAATAAGGTAATAGAAATATGAATAGAATAAGGAATGTAAATAAGAGATAAAACAAAAAGCACTAGAAAAGTGTTGAAGACACCTAGTCAGCGCATCATCATGAGGTCATTCACCTCGGGACATTGTACTTTTATCATCAGGGATTTTTACAAGGCTCTTAATAAAGACAGAGTGCATTTAGTCCTGCCAAAATTTAAAGAGAAAACAATTAATCTCTGTTAATTGACTTTGGATTACACGAAGGTGCCTCTCCGTCACTTTTGTCTGTGCCATCAACAGACAAATGACCCAGAACTGAGTTTTTAAAAGCTTTCACATGGACAAAACAGAAACTTGTGCGGAGACAAAAGTGCCAACAGTATCTGTACAAAGACAAATCAAAGAATTGATTTCCTCCGCCGGCTGAGATCCTTTGAGGTGAGTCAACCAATTCTAGTTTATTCTTCTTTACTTCTTTGATTCTGTGTGTCCTACAGTACTGTAACACCTCATGTTGTATGTGTCTGTCCACTGCTTTAAAGACAGTTAGACATCTGCTCAAAGATCGTAGGCCGACCATTGCAGAGACACTATGACACAGCATACGATAAAAACACGTTAAGGCTAACAGAATCACCTCTGATCCAAACCACGCTCTGAACACAGAATATGAACTGTGACCATCAAACCGGAGACACAGGGTCCCATGTTTTAATAAGGTCACTCTTTTGTTCACCAGTCAATCCTTTACAATGAATGTACAGCTGAATCCCAGATCGAAGCACATTTAAGACCTCTGAATACTTGTTTGGTGTTTTAATGTTGTTACAAATGTTTGTATCTTTGTCTTAATTTTTGTGTTTGCAAATGGAGCCGCTGTAATGCAAGACAAATCAATCAATCAATCAATAACAGGCAACAGACAGACTGAAGTCATCAGCATGAAGAATGTGAAAAAATAAAGTTGGTGGTGCAGTGGGTAGTGCGCGTGTCCCATGTATGGAGGCTGTAGTCCTCCAAGCGACCTCTGGGTTCTTTCCCGCATGTCAACCCTCTCTCTCTCTCTCTCTCTCTCTCTCTCTCCCTGATTTCCAACTCTATCCACTGTCTCTCCAATAAAGGCACAAAAGCCCAAAAAGTTGGATCCTGACATGGAGGAGTCAATAAGCTATGCGAGGTCTGGTTAAATAATTATACACAATTTGGGGTTAAATCACCTCTGACGAGTTTTATGGCTTGACTCGTACTGCTCTGTTTTCTGCATGGTAAATACAGTATTGCTGGCTCATTAAGCCCCTGATGGCATTGAGGCAGACTTACATAATAAGATTGTTTTGTTATCACTGAGATAATTCATTTAATTAAGCATATTCATTTTAATTTGCGGCTGCCAATTAAACAAAAGAACTGTGATTTTTTGTTGTTGTTGCATTAAACACAATTGGATTAAGATTGTAAATATTCACACCGACTCATAAGAATGTGTCGCAGTGTAAAGCCTGTGTACTAAACACTGCGACCACTGAGGTTTATGAGCATGCTCAGTGCATGCAGGCACATCTTCAATCTCGGCAGCGTGGGGGAGAATGCAAAGAAAAGTGGAGCAAAGCGTGGTCCCATTCTGCTCACGTCAAGAGGCCAAGTTCAGAGGAAAGTCTATTTAGGCCCTCATCCATCTTGTGATTACACACACAGATACATACTGACACACACACACACACACACACATTCCAGTTTGCAATGCTGTCACCTAATAATACGATCCATCCT